AGAAGAGATTATTGTAAGTGATATTGAAGATCATCTAAATGAACATTTTTATGGAAGTGACACTGGAATATATTCAGATATAGGAATTTTGTGGAATAAGGGAATTATCCCACACACATTTTTTATATAGGGAGAGCCTCGAAAATCAAATGGTTTAAAAAATTGTCCTTCACAAACAGTAAAGCTGAGAACGCCTAATGTCATTACACATTTACTCGGCTTGAAAGGACAGGAAGACCGACTTTGTGCCATAAATGTGCAAAGCCAATTTATAAAGGACATACAATTGCAGTTTGCAATGATTTGCCTAAAATATCCTCATGGAATTTTATATATTTAATATTGAAAAGGAGCAATAGTTTCATATTTTATATGCCATTACCAATTTTGAGGATTATTCAAGAATAGTTTTTAAAATGTTTAATCTGTGTAAAAAATATAAATATTTTATTAATAATTGCCTTTTTTGAAAATTAAAATGTTATTACTTTGAAATAGAAAAGGTTTTGTTTTTCCTCAGTTATATATATAATATTTATATTCAAAATATGTAATTTTAATATCGGGTAAATTTCACCCTGCGCGCGCAAGTACATTACATTTTTAGCGCGCGCGCTCAAGGGTTAACCATGGACCACCACCACATATGGGTATGTTCACAATTAAAGACTCAAGAGATAATGATGAATCATCATAAGTCACGGCTAAAAAGAGAGCACTATAATTACAACTAAAGATTTTTGTGCTCAAAGATATCGCCAAGTATTTTGGTAAACAAATGACAATGTAAATATAATCTAAGGTAACTAACTCAAATCTTTTAGGCAGAGCTCTGGCAGATAGAATGACCTTCAGATAGGTAGACCAGCTGCTAAACAAGCAGAATAACTGACAAATAAACAGTCGCAGACCAACAGCAGTATTGTTAGAAGAGGAGGAGGAGAAAGCCCTCTTTGAAAATCCTGAGTCAACTGACCCAGTTGATAAACTTCAGCAAGGGTTCCTCTCCAGGGATACCGAGAAGCTACATCTGTACTTATGATGAGTTGGCAGCAAAGGCTTCAATGTTAGAAACAGCCTCAAATTACAGTCAGACTTTCACTAAAGTGTGCCTGGATGGTACCATGATAAACTTGATAAACATGATATACTTGTACCCCTACACACCATTACATATCATAGAATTTGTGTAATATTTGCACAAGGGGATAAGAAACAACTCTTAATTGAATCATTAAGTCTTTGGTCTACATTACATTGGAATACATATCCATTTCAAAAAGTAAACATTTTACAAGCTTTTTTGCTAAATAAAAAATATACTTTAGTTAAATCAGATTGAACAGTTAGTTTTTAAAACATTGCACCAGCATTATTAAGCAATTTTAAACTATATATGCTAAAGAGAGAAAAAAAAGAGGAAATATAAAATTACAAATGAAAGTATTTAATTTGAACAAGTATTTAATGTTTGGAGCAAGCAAGGAAGGAGTAAAACTTGAGTGGGGTCAGTTTATTAGGCCACGAATTCATAGGGGATGGGCTGGACAACCTCTATGGTGGTCTTGTTTATCAGGACCATGTGGCCACCACGGGGCTGGACAGCTTGCCTCTTGAGCTGCAGGCGTATTTTCTGTCCCTTCTCCTTGGCCTCCTTGATCAGGTTCTTGTTCTTCTCAATGCGAGCCAGGTGGTCCTGCCTGCACTTGCTGAGCCTCACATGCTCTACACGCACGTTGATGCGCTTGGGGATGATACGATGCCTGCAGCCAAAGGTCAACCTTATTAGCTATGCTCCAGGAATTTGGGTTTACATCAAGAGATTTAACTGGAAGATTTTTCATAATTTTACTTAGTAATGTTAAAAGTTGAAACACTCATTTTCTACAAAGAAAACAAGGAAGTTTCAACTTTTATTTAATTTTGGAGGCTTTCAAGACATGGCTACTAGTGTTGAGTAGCCAGGTTCTGCACTCTCCGTGGTTAGCTAAGTAATATTTGACAAGGTCAGTATTCCTTCTGGTGGCACAACTGCACTCTTACATAGTTTTTTTTTTTTTGCTTATCCCTAGTACACGTGGTACAGGCCACGATAATCATGGTGGGTAGAAGGTGACTGCTTTTACTGTAAGTGCACCACATGTGACATAAAGTAAACATGGTAATAAGACCAAATAGTGTGCGACACAACTGTACCCTACATTTCTACTCAGAGAATCTGTATGAGCCTGAAAGGTCTTAATAAAGCTTGTTCTTATTTGTACACTACAGTAGAATCTCCATGAGAAGACAACTCACGCTACCTCTCAACTAAAAGACAGTTTTCATTGCCAAAATGACCATTTTCACTATTTAGCCACTCTCTGGTAGGAAGACACCTCTCCCTAAAAGACAATTTTGCTCTGCAACTAGGTGTCCTTTACAGGAAGGTTCTAATGTATTTTCCTTGTGTTCTTTAATCCAAATTGTGTCTTATCATAAATGGTAAACATATTTGATTGGCTATTAACCCGTGATTCTAACATTTAATACTTCAAGAGACCCCACCTCTGCCCCACTATTTTGCCATATATGCATATTAGTGCAGGTTTACCTTTATCGCAGTTTTGCCTGTGAAACAGCAATCTATAAGAAATTTACTTATTTATTAGTCTTCCAATATTTTAACCAATTGTCTTTCTTCAAGTAGAACAGATTTTCGAGATATGTTCCTTGAAGAACATGGGCTATTTATCCTGGTTGAATCATCAAAATAGGCATTTCATTGTTAATACTGCTAAATGTAATGGTACTAGTGACTACAACGTTAATGGTGTGAGAGGGGATCCAATGGAACATATTCTGGTTTTCCTGTGAGATTTTTTTTAGATTCCCAACCAGCCAGTCATGAACATGTATCAAATCCTCTAAAAAAAGACCTCTGGGAAAACCCCAGGACTATAATAGAGATTGTTTAAACAACTTGAGGAATAAGCAACAACACAAACACATTAATGGCTAAAGGCTGCAATCCATCAGGAGCGGAGCTACACAGTAAAAATATACAATGCTTCTACAATATTCACAAGTTGATGAATGCATCAAGCCTGCCATTAAACTGACAAATGCTTTCTTCATCAGTAGAAACAACCTGGCCAACAAATATATATTTTACTCATCTCAAGCATTCGTATTACATGCCATAATTGTGATTAGTAACTGCCTTTCCAGCACATCATGTGTCTACATATGTAGAAAACAAACATTTACAAGGTACCTGAACATTCAGCTTAAGCAAGATACTCATTTCTGCGGATCAATGATATATGCTCTCCCAAGTAAATCAATGCGCTAGGTTGGGTTTATGTTAGTTTAGTATAGGATGTAGGGTTCGGTGGATGAATGGTCTAAACCGTTGGTTTTCGACTGCTACGTCCAGGGTTCAATTTCTGCTTTGGACACTTTTCAGATCTAAAAAAACGCTCCAATGGTCCGAATCTTGCGAAAGTCCAACCCCACGAGCGAGTGCAAGTAACCAAACAGGGCAATGGCACATTTTAAAGTGCAAAGTCGAATTGCTTTTCACATGTGTAGATATGTGGTGCACTTACAGTAAAAGCAGTCGCCTTCTACCCACCATGATCATGACCTGTACCAAGTGGATAAGTAAAAAAAAAAAAAGTATAGGATGTTTTAAAATTGTGAAATGGAACTTTTATTTACAGTGAGGCCTAGCGAAAAATAATACAATCATGTTTTCATAGTCTATAGAAATGAGTTCTTGTACTGACTAGTACAAAATCAACAGCATTCACCACTCTTCCCTCGATATGAAAATGCTCAACACGTTTGAAAATACAGTAGTACCTCCCTGTAAAGGGAACATAATTGCAGAGCCAAACTGTCCATTAGGAAGAGGTGCCCTCTTACCTGAGTTACTAAATTGTAAAAATGGTAATTTTGAAAATGAAAACTGTCTTTTGTAGAGAAGTATCCACTAGCAAGGTGTTCACTAAAGAGTTTCTACTGTAGTATCAAATACAAATCTATAGGCCAACTGATTCAGAATTACAGCACCAAAATTTTCAGTCTTTATAAATTGACAAAAATTTATTCAAGAGCTTTTATGGAGATTTTCAGGAATGTCTTCTAAAATATATTTATAAAAGGTTTTAATTTTGTGACCTTTGATAATTTGACTAGAATATTCTTGGATACTTAAAATTGTGCTAAAAATCTCTAATCCCAGTGACAGAGAGAGCTATTAAACAATTTGCCTTTAAAGTGATGGAGGTTGATTTAAGAGGTAGGTAGGTGCCAGTTCAGTGTTTATATAGGAATCGGGTAAAGAGCTGTTTACATGAGCATGTGGTAAAGCCAAGCTACATTTATCCATATAAAGACAGGGGGTCTCAGAACCAGTTCCCATGTTTACTATCTTTTTTTTTGCTTATCCTTAGTACATGTGGTATACAGGCCATGAAAATCATGGTGGGTAGAAGGCAACTGCTTTTACTGTAAGCGCACCACATGGCTACACATGTGAAAAGCAGTTCGACTTTGCACTTAGAAATGTGCCAGACCCCAGTTTGGTTACTTGCACTTGCTGGTGGGGTTGGACTTTTACAAGAATCGGGGGCCATTGGAACTTTTTTTTTTTAAACAGAAAAGTGTCCAATGCGGGGATTGAACTTGAGTCATAGTGGTCGAAAACCAAACGGTTTAACCAGCCTTCCACCGACCCCCCAAGATCTATCCTTAATCTAATAAACATTTTAGGCTTAGTAAATATGGGAACTTATCCAGAGACCTCTCAGTAACTCATGCTTTGGATATAATCAAACTTTGGTCCAATAAGCCAAAAAAAAATAAAAAAATATTATTATTATAGTTACATGAAAATAAGATTAAATCCAAATAAATTAGTGGGCGGCATTTTAATAACAGCACACATTGTTACCATCAGATAAAATAATATATTATAGACACAAAGAAATAAGACCTAATTCGAATAAATTAAGTGTGTGATGTTTCAGTAACAGCATACTTTTGTCCGATGGTAACAATGCTGTAACCGAAACGTCTCACACTATCAATTTATTTGGAATAAGTCTTAATTTTCTGGTATCCATATTCTATAATCCAAATTGTGCTTTATCAAATGATTATTGACTAAATGTTTATCATAAAAATAAAAACTAAACTGCTGAATCACATTAGATGATATTTTTGATATTTATATATATATTTTTTAAATTTTTTATTGGGTGTGCTTTGTGTGAATATTACAAGCCATCACTATCAGAAATAGATTTATAGTTGAATTTTTTACAATAAAAGAATAGCTTATTTTTAGAATTGAATAGAAAATGTAATACAAAATAATAAATTGAACTTTTTACATCAATTTTTATCTTAAAATCATTGTACAAGTTACTAGAAACCAAATTTTACTTACCTAACTCTCTTGTTTACGATAACACCAAGAGCATGGGGGGTAACATTGAAGACTGTTCCTGTCTTTCCATGGTAGTACTTGTATGGCATTCCCTTTTGGAAAGCTCCATTACCCTAAAATACACAAAAATTTGAATTTTTTTTTCCACAAATGATGTATTTTGATAAGTTCTTACCTTGATATCAACAATATCGCCACGCCTGTATGTGGTCAGGAAAGTTGAAAGGGGCTCAATACCATGTTTTTTGAACTTGCGAGAAAATAGGTATCTAGTTCCTCGCCTATAACCTTTTGTGTTCACCATCTTGACCTGAAAATAAAGCAATTAAAATTAATTTTAAAAGTAAGAGCTGGAAACGTGTTGGTTAAAAAAGTTTAAAATATTCTCTTCAAAGGACAATATTTCGCAAATTCTATATATTTTTGTTGCAAAATAATTTAAAATGTATGTAAAAATAGTTAAAGAGTTCTTATTTATGTTGTTGAATGAATAAACTATTGGGAAGTTTGAAGATATTTTCTAACAAGTATCTAACGTTTAAGCCTTATTTTTTTGGAAATATTTTTGGGAATGTTATAAATAAACAAATATAGAAGTATATATTTCTCATTTTTAATTTTTTATAGCCCTTTTTATTAAAAAAATAAATAAAACTCACCTATTATAACAACAGAAAATATTTTATGAAATAGGAGCGAAGAAACGTGTAAAGGAAAAACGTGTTTAATCCAGGCAAAAGGAATGATAAGCAGAGTAATTGACGAATAAAAATATTATTTTCAGAGAAAAATAATTTTGAAAAATAGAATTTAAAAATAGTTAATGAATTAAAATGTAAAATATATTTTATAAATTGATTTATAAATATATTCAGAATATATGCATTTGTGTGTTAAAGTGAATTTTGACATTTCTACAAAATGTTTTGAAACAATAATTTTAATAGGGCTATATATCGCTTTTAATATATTTATTCACGTACACTAAAAGTTGGATCTATACCTTTAAATATGCACTGAAATAATCCAGTTTAGTTTATCACCCCAGTTCAGAACGTTATAGTGGTGATAAAAAGTGTGCAACAGTACCGGTTTTGGCAGATCAGACAATAATCATCCTTTATAACATGGTTTGGCTAAGCCTTCATCAATACAGGGCGGCATCGATATCATGAAATTCTACGATAGGGGATATGAAATCGGCCGAAATTTTTTAAAATGTACTAAAGATGGTGAAGCAACAGGGCTTATTTTCAAGATTGAGTATGACTTATTTGGGAGAATGATATTCATACACCAAAAGAAAATAGCGTTTATGAATACCACCCACCTGTAACTTAATGTTGAATTCTGGCCATAAAATTTGCCCCGCCACTTAGCCAGCTTAATGCCCTTATTTGCAAATTTCGATCGATTTCATAACTCCTCTCGTTAGATGTTTTGAAATCTAAGCCGCCCCTGTACTGATGAGGGCCATAGCTGGAAGTCATTGTAGACAAGTTAACAAAACTTATAATATAATAACTGGCGTTGTGACACATTATTCATAACCACCATAACATTATACTAGAATCTGAATTAAAATAATTTATTTTAATGCATTTTTAAAGACGCTTTTATTTTATTCATCTATTAAAATATCTCACTTTTAAGACAACATTATAATGTTCAATAATAACCTTTTAGTGTATCTATATATATAAAAATGAATGTATGTGTGTGTGTCTGTTTGTCCTTTATGCCTGACCAAACCACTCATTGGAACGCCATGAAACTTTGGGAAGTTATTTAGTATAGTACTGGGAAGGTTTCTAGCAAATAAATTTTTGAAATAACTTTTCGCTTTAAAATAATCAAGATAAATATTCTAATTTATCTGTTATAATTCAACAATCTGCTCTAAATATTATCATGATGATACGATGATTTTGTAATGTAGAAAATTAGGAAAGACAAAATTCAAGATGACACGGCAATTTATTTGAGACAAGAATAATGATACAATTCCAAGGCAAGATACTATTCCTTTAACTTCCAATTACCGAGGGAACCAATTAATATTGATTTTATTCAACTTATCGAGTATTTTTCAAGGGACCGGGAAAAAATGTTCACTTTATCGAGAGATTCGTTAGACAAACCTTTACTCGGGGGAAAACCGGTACGTCCGCTAGTAATATAAATATTTGTAAGTAAAATAGCGCGAATATTAAGATTCATTAAATATTAAAGTATAATATCTACAGTTAAAATTTTTATATATTGACGTTTAAAAGTTTAAAATGATATCATGATTTTAAATGACATTATTTTGATGTGTGTGTTCTAAAGTTGTCTTGAAATTGTAAATCTTTCATATATCACAAAAATATACATATCAAAATGAAAATCCCTATATATATAAAAGTCAGTGTATGTATGTGTGTTTGTTCCTATGTCGGCTATACACGTCCACAAGCAGCGCCTCTAGCGGTGAAGATGGGAAGTAATATCAGCTGACCTAATGTACATGTAAAACGTTTTGACAGGACATAGAGAAAAATCTGGAAAATATATTTATAGGAATTTTAGCCAATAAAAAATGAAATTGACAGGTTCTGGGCAAAAATAGTTGTTTTTTAGTCAGAAAATGATGATGACAATATTGCTGTATCATGTTTATATCGGGGAATTATATCGGGAAAAATCCAAAAAGCAGGGATCACTGGTGAAGCCAGTTCATTTTTAGTATGCAGGAACAAAATTCTAACAGAAAAAAAATCATTCAAGCAGAAGACACAAAGCCAGATCATCTCTCTATAAAAATATCGCTTCTCAGACACAAAGTTTGGAGCGGGACGTTTCACAAGAGTGAGATCCACGGCGCCAATTTATAATTGTAACTAATAGTATTTGAATAAAAACAATAAATCTGGTTACCCGGAACGAACCTGGGCGGGCGTTGCAGGGTCATTCGGCTAGTCTATATATATATAAAACTAGCGGACCCGCCCGGCTTCGCCCGGGTTTTACCCGAGTAAAAGTTTGTCTAACGAATCTCTCGATAAAGTGAACATTTTTTTCCCGGTCCCTTGAAAAATACTCGATAAGTTGAATAAAATCAATATTAATTGGTTCCCTCGGTAATTGGAAGTTAAAGGAATAGTATCTTGCCTTTGAATTGTATCATTATTCTTGTCTCAAATAAATTGCCATGTCATCCTGAATTTTGTCTTTCCTAATTTTCTACATTACAAAATCATCGTATCATCATGATAATATTTAGAGCAGATTGTTGAATTATAACAGATAAATTAGAATAATTATCTTGATTATTTCTAGGCGAAAAGTTATTTCAAAAATGTTATTTGCTAGAAACCTTCCCAGTACTATACTAAATAACTTCCCAAAGTTTCATGGCGATCCAATGAGTGGTTTGGTCAGGCATAAAGGACAAACAAACAGACATACATTCATTTTTATATATATAGATATAGAAAGAATATAGAAAGATAGATAGAAAAGAATAGATAGATAGAAGATATTAACAGTAATTAAACGTAACAGTAAGAAAATGTTGATTTTAAAATATTTTAATTTTAAAATATTTTAATTTTAAATATTTTAATTTTTTTCATATTTTAAATATGTAAATAGAGTCTCTTAAGAAAGACCACCTAAAAACATGAATCAACTTGTTTCTCCTGTTGGTGGTCTCTCATTGAAGATTCTAATTGCTATTAAAGAATCTCTAATAGGCCTTTAATAAGAGACTGCCTCTTGGAGAGACGGTGTAGCTACGAAATGGATATTCCCGGCTTCGCCCGGATTTTACCCGAGTAAAGGTTTGTCTAACGAATCTCTCGATAAAGTGAACATTTTTTCCCGGTCCCTTGAAAAATACTCGATAAGTTGAATAAAATCATTATTAATTGGTTCCCTCCGTAATTGGAAGTTAAAGGAATAGTATCTTGCCTTGGAATTGTATCATTATTCTTGTCTCAAATAAATTGCCGTGTCATCCTGAATTTTGTCTTTCCTAATTTTCTACATTACAAAATCATCGTATCATCATGATAATATTTAGAGCAGATTGTTGAATTATAACAGATAAATTAGAATATTTATCTTGATTATATCTAGGCGAAAAGTTATTTCAAAAATTTTATTTGCTAGAAACCTTCCCAGTACTATACTAAATAACTTCCCAAAGTTTCATGGCGATCCAATGAGTGGTTTGGTCAGGCATAAAGGACAAACAGACATACATTCATTTTTATATATATAGATTGAATGTCTGTCTGTCTGTGTGTACTCTATAGATTCAAAAACCATACATCCAATCGCCGTGAAATTTTGGGATATTATTAGGTATATCCCCGGGAAGGGTTTTGAAAAATAATTTCTTGAATATCTTGAATATCCTTAGAGTTATTTGCAGATTTGTAGATTTAATTCGCAAGCAGCGCCACCATTGTGACGATGTTAACAAGTTTTTTTATCTATAAGTTTTATTATCAGTAAGTTTATTATCTTAAAGATTATTTATCAAAAGTAAGATTATCTCAGGATGACACGGCAATTTATTTGAGACAAGAATAATGATACAATTCAAGGCGAAGATACTATTCCTTTAACTTCCAATTACCGAG